ACAAGGTAATACATGCGATTGTATCAACGTAACATGCAACCAAAAACCTAATGTTTAAGTCCTATCACGGACGTAGACCCCAAATTTAAAAGAATAAATTTATCTCATCGGTTTGCATAAAATGCATTTACGTCTTTAGAAGTCCATGTTCTCTACATATAAACATAACATAACCTTCACCAATATACTAGGAAACACGGATGCTATATATGACACTAGCATTATACTTTATCGTAGCATTAAGCCACATGGTTTAAGATAAGCAGTCCTCCCCACTTCAAACCCTTATATGGATGCCCCATAAATAGTAATAAATGGATTTCAACTCCTCATCACAATTTCTGATCGGCCATTTATAGACACAAGGCAAATTTCTCACTATTCTAACTTTATTACAGTGAAACTAAGAAGAGAAGACAACGATGTCGATGCTAGAGATGAAGGATATGTAATGCTAGTACGTCCAATTTAATATAATTAAGAAAATAATTACTTAATTACGAACAAATAAGAGATTACATGCAGTTCTTGCCTTATGTCCACACAAATATTAGAAGTGGCAAGCATATGTTTTACTATTGTAATTGTGAAAGGCAAAGCTGATGCAAAGTCATTAAGCATGCAATTTGAGTTAATTGTCAATGCATAGATGTGTTTTGAAATGATGAAATTAAATATGTTATTCAGCTGGTGCACATTGATGATCATCTGTAGGATAGAATTCATGGTGATGATGATTTTCAATCTTTCCGACAAGGATCATGGGTCCTTTCTATGTTGGTTACGCCCCATGTAGAAACCCTTTAAAACAGATATGAAATAATTCTGAAATCTGATTGGAAAAAATGTTTCAGATTAATGGGAATGCACTTAACACTTCATGACACCACCCACCCAATAAACAAACATCACAGAAAAGTTTCTGCACAGTGGCATAGCGTCGAAAAGAAAGCAGACCTTTCGGTAAACTCAAGGGTGGGTATCCTGGATGAGCACAGCACGCCTGCGTTGACACACGGTCACTTCCTATAAAAAAACAGAAGTTAAACATGCACTAATTTTCAATGAAAACGGCACAAAGTACTACATTAATTAAACATGCACTAATTCACATTCTGCATTTTCTCTTTTCGGACTGAATTAGAACCATATATACCAGTTTTAGGATTCCATAGAAGATTTCATGGAACCAGTAAGTAGCGGTGATGCAAGATATGACAATTTAACAGATCAAATCGGTGCTATCAAATTTCTCATAAGTCAATCGTTCACATAGTAACCAAACATAGCAAGTATGCAAATAGCACCTACTTATGAATATTCTACAGGTTTCAACAAAACTCTACTGCTGTTTATGCAACTCTAGATTGAATAAAACAAGGGAGATGGGATCTCATTGTCTGAGGCATCGGGAGTATTTAAAGAACCCACAGACAGGCCATTAATAAATATAGAGAACCAACAATTATCCACACAAGCACGGATGCGGTTGATGGATGAATCCCTAAACCCCATCTTGGTAAGCACATCGCGTAGGAAACTTCAATTAACTCTGTCGTAAGCCTTTTCCATGTCAAGTTTCATGATGAGGCTATGTGTTTTTTGGCCTCTGATTGTTGCTGCTGAAAAGTTCTTTCACTTTTGAGAACATCCTGTTCAGCCTTGATCAACAAGTGGAAAACAATGGCAAAGATGTTCTTATTCCACCATTTTAGATGCTGCTTCAAGCTGATAAGTTTCTGTTGGAACTTGATAAGGCCGTGAGTTCCAGATCAACTTCTATTCTTTTCCCTTTCTTTTCTGTATTTAAGAGGTGCCGAAGATCCCGCTGTTTAAACCCATTGGAGCAGTTTGAGTCTTCATTAGTATCAACATTGTCCTGAACCCAAGTAGGGTTGACCTTATCCATGCAAGTAAGGTCCTCCTCAGTGAAGCCTTCCTTATGTTGGGATTTATCTCTTGGAATTTGATCTTCTTTTTTTCATTGCAAGAAGCTTCTTAGATCCTTTTGTTTATGTCCAAAATTCTCCTTATTACTTGGATTCGAGACAAAACTAGTCGATGAAGCAAGACATCCTTCCAAATCATGTCCCAGATGCTTACAAGAGACAATATTTCGGCACTTTCTCATTTTCCACTTGCTGTTCCATTTCAACACCATTAATGAGCAAATAGATTTTGTTGATCAGAGGGCGAGACACATCAATTTCAATACAGCCTCGGGCAGCTGAAATTCTAGCCTTGGGAGTTGTTGGCAATGGAAAAAAAGCATCCCTCTGGCATAATTGGGCAGGAAGCACAGGGAACTGGACCCAAAATGGTACTGCTGCAGATTCGATTCCAGGTTTAAAAGAAGGATTCCATTTCAAAACTCTCATAGGGAAGCCTCTACTGAACCAAATTCCTCGAGTCCAAATCCGAGTGTAATCCTCCTCATTGGCAAGGCGAATCAAAATATGTTTAAAATTGATTTGTAATAACTTGAATTCCCCATTCAACTTGAGATGATTGAACGTATCTCAACAATGCTTTCCATGAGGAATATCCTTGAGTGTATTTTCCAACCAATGAGAACTTGAAATCAATTGCCGGAAGAGCAGTCTCCTCATTTGAAAATTCCAGCGCAGGGCCATTGTTGTGTTCAGTAGTAGAACCAATGGTTTTCGGGTAGGGAATGGAAAAGAAAAAATTGGTTGAAAGGGGATGTTCTTTGTCCAGAGGGTTCGGAGGATGGTTGGTAACGACTCCAGCGAAGGAGTGACGAGCAGGAGGCTCATCACCCATCTTAAACAACAAGCCAGAAACACAAACACCTCAACCCATACTGATCCCAGGGTAGAGTCGAACAGGTGCAGGTTGAGATTCTTCCCTTTCAAACCAGCAAACCAAAACCAAAATTCCAGAACCAAAATAATCATGTGATAAAATTACACCATTAATAAATCAAACTTCACAGGGCACTTAAACAATCTGCCTACTCGTTCTCTAACACAAAAATATGTTATCCTACCAACTAATCAAGTTCTGTTTATCATACACAAGCCATACAATTCCCAATACCACCCGAGAAAGAAGAAGAATATTACGACGCCTTATTTCGATTTCTCCTTACAGAGGACGCGACGAAGAACCGTGGATCGATCCCCATACTACTCGAGATAACTTAAAAACATTACCTGGACGCCGGTGCCGATTAACCTCCTCGATCCCACCTTCGCCCAGTACGTCGCGTAAGCCCCTCCGAATCGCGTCAAAGAATGACTTATGCCCTAGCTTTCTGAAATTTGCTAAGTGTGGAATGGATTCGCCACCGAGGAGGGGAAGAAGAAAGCCCGCGCCCTGAAATCGTTCTTACAATTTTCCAAAAGCACTATAGCGTTTTTATCCTTTTTAAAATCCAAAATATCTTTTAAATTTTAAATATAAATTTAAACGCCATTTGTTACGAAGCACAATCGTAACTAATGTTATTTTGAACAAATTATACCAACTTTGTTTTCGTTACGGCTTATTTTGTGTAATTAAAGAACCTGAAACGTTGACCAAAAAAATATTTTTTGGTCAACGGAACTTGTCGTAACAATAACCATTATTTGTTACGATGTTATTGTAACGAACCGTCGAGCCGTGGTGAAAGACCATTTTTTTGGTAGTGACAGAGAGTGGAGTTGCCGCTTTGCTTTGCTTTAATTTAGGTTGACCGCACGCCCATGTCCAATGCTCACCTCCCCTACTCTAGACTTTCCGTTTATCAGAATTTCAAATCGAAATCGAACATTCCGAGTGACGATTTCGATTACAGTTTGACGGTTTGGATTCGAACAACCCATTTATATACTTTTCTTTCCGGTTTTTTCTTAATATTAATTTTTACGATTAATTTTGATTCCGATTTTAATTAACTAAATCTTTGTATTTTTGTGAAAAGTTATATATAAATAAAACTTCATTTTTATAAAATAATTATTTATCAATCTACTAACTAAGAATTAAATTTATTAATTAAGAATTAAGAATACAATTATAATTTATACAGTTATTTAATAAGTTAATTTGTAAATTAAATCGCGCGAAATTAAAAATTACTTTTTTAAGACAAAGATTATTATTTATTTTATTTACATTAGAATTTGAATTTATAAATTATTTAATTGTATAATCCAACGATTTCCGAATTTTAAATATTTATTTGACTTCATTATTTATTTTTAAAATTGTAAAACAACTTTTAGAAAAAAAAAACTTTAATTCAACTTTCAAGTAAACAAAAAATTATTAAGTAATTATTTTATAAAAAAATATGTAATTATAAATATATAAATAATAATTATTCAAAATTGTTTAAGTTTATTATTTTAAAAGTATTTCTAAGTTTTAAAAAACAATTCGATTTTATTAATTCTCGTTCTACTTATGAGTACACTCCAAAAAAATTCATATCAATGGCAGAAGTTTATGGAAACTGCAGCTTTGCATTGTACATATCGGAACCTACATGTTTCGAAGATGTAGTTGGAAAGGAAGAATGGCAGGCTGCAATGGTAGAAGAAATGAAGGCGATTGAGCGCAATCAGATGTGGGACTTGATTGAACCTCCTGAAGGAAAAACTCCAATAGGTCTCAAGAGGGTATTCAAAGTCAAGTATCATGTTGACGGTACTGTGAATAAGTACAAAGCGAGACTGGTTGCAAAAGGTTATGCGCAACATAAAGGTGTTGATTTTGATGACACTTTCTCACCCGTGGCTCGCTTTGAGACTATAAGAACTCTTCTTTGTCTTGCTGCACATTTACAGCTTACGGGTTATCAATTCGATGTTAAATATGCATTTTTAAATGGAGATTTAGAAGAAGAGGTGTATGTCTTGCAATCTGAGGGCTTTGTGGTTCAGGGGAAAGAACACAAAGTTTTTAAGCTAAAAAAGGCGTTATATGAGCTTAAACAAGCACCACGGGCGTAGTATAAAAGAATTGACTCATACCTTCTAAAGAATGAATTTATGAGGAGTGAAAGTAAGCCAACATTGTATGCAAAAAGAAATGACAAAGGTGAATTTCAACTTGTTTGCATTTATGTCGATGACATGATATATTTGGGATCAAGTGAAACTTTAGTTGTTGATTTCAAGATGTGTATGATGAGGGAGTTTGAAATATCGGACTTGGGGATGCTTAGTTATTTTCTCGGACTTGAAGTAAAGCAAGCTGAAGATAGAATATTTCTCTCACAAAATAAATATGCTAATGATCTTTTACTCAAGTTTGGCATGCATAATTGCAAAGCAGCAGCCACACCGATGAATACTAATGAGAAGTTGCAGCTGGAAAATGGAACCAAAGCAACTGATCCGAGTTATTTTCGAAGGCTAATAGGTGAACTAAATTATCTTACACATATTCGTCCTGATATCATGTATTCTGTGAGTTTGCTATCCAGGTACATGTATAATCCTACCGTGCAACATCTGGGAGCAGCAAAAAGAGTGCTTTGATACATAGTTGGAACCTCTTATTGGGGAATTTGGTATTCGAAAGATGTTGAATTTCAGTTGCATGGATTTAGTGACAGAGATTGGGCAGTTTGCATAGACGACAGGAAGAGTGTTTCCGGTCAAAGCTTCAACTTAGGTTCCGGTGCTATTTCTTGGAGTTCGAGAAAGCGGGATATTGTTACATTGTCCTCATCCGAAGCAGAGTATGTTTTTGTAACTGCTGCAGCGTGTCAAGTTGTGTGGTTGGGAAGATACTAGCTGATATGCACCAAGGGCAAAAGAATGCAACAACAATTTATTGTGACAACAAAGCCACTATTGCAATGACAAAGAATCCAATGTGTCACAAGAGGACAAAGCATATCGATACTCGGTTTCATTTCATTCGTAATTTGGTAGCAAATGGTGATCTTCAGTTTGAGTACGTTTCTACAAATGATCAAGTAGTAGATGCTTTTTACTCAAGCACTTTCTTGGGGGAAGCTTAAGTATTTCCGAAAGCGACTTGAAGTTTGCAAATTTGAAGCACAGGGGAGTGTTGAATAATATGCTTCAAATATTTTAGATAATTAATTATATTAATATTATAAATATAGTAAGTAATTATCTAAATAAAGTATCTTAATAAAGAGTGATTATTATTTTCCATATTTGGATTGATTTGATGTAATCAATATTAATATCACTATCGTATGTTTTAATTGTTGAACTCATTTTTTCCAGATTGTGAGAATAATATGTGTTTCAATTCTTCTTCTTCCTGGCAGCCTATGAAACATCAATTGACTTTACAAAGCTTTCCCCAACAAAGTGTTGAATAATATGCTTCAAATATTTTAGATAATTAATTATGTTAATATTATAAATATATTAAGTAATTATCTAAATAAAGTATCTTAATAAAGAGTGATTATTATTTTCCATATTTGGATTGATTTGATGTAATCAATCCTAATATCACTATCGTATGTTTTAATTGTTGTACTCCTTTTTTCCGGATTGTGAGAATAATATACGTAACAGTTCTTCTTCTTCGTTGCAGCTTGTGAAACATCGATTGACTTTACAAAGCTTTCCCCAATAGTTTATTGATTTCATAAGGTATGTATCCACGTTGGTTCTCCGCATTAATTAATTTTTATATTAGCTTCTACTTAATCAAAATATTATTTATATTCTAATCGATTTAGTTTCTTGGATTCTTGATTGAACGTCTAGTTTTTTGGCCGTATTTCAAAAGGTGTGTATCTATATCAGTCTTTCTTCTTTACTTTTTTGCATAGCTGTTGCGTGAACAAATTCGAATGTGTTTTAGATATATTTTGGAAATATATTGTATAATCTAAAATCTGATTAAAGTATGTAATCTTTTTTCAATAAAGAAAAGTGACATGAGATATGAAACGAATAGAAATGAAAAGTGTAACATTATATGTGGGACAAAGTGAGTATAAAAATTTGCATTAATTCCTAACAAAAAGTGCGCGCATGGAATCGATTACACTCTTAAGAATCCAGCATGATTGTATGGTTGGGCGGAAAACTACAACTTGTCATGGCATAGGATCACTCTCTCTGTCGAGTAGGGTTGAGCTCTACTTAACAATCCGTCAAGAACTAAATCACACTTTTCCCAGGATCATTAACTTTGAAACCTTGAGAACTTTGCAACAATTTTAGAGGCATCTGCATCTGTATATTAGGTGCTGCATGAACAAATTTGAATGTGTTCTCATATGTTTTTAAAGTATTTTGGATTTTTGATAAATATCCCAAAATTTAACCTGAATCAATTTCAAATAGGGTTATTTTCTAGGACATATGTATGGTCCACAAGATAAGTCAGTCCGTCGAATAGAATCAATTAGTACTCTATCACAGGTCTTTCCTGCGATCACCAACATTGGAGTCTTGAGGTCCCGTAAGGGATGGCCGGGTGGTATGGAATTGAACTTGTGACTGTGAGGTCATGGGTCAAAACCCTCAACGCCTCCGGGGCACCTGTCACACATGATTCGCCTAGTGTGACTTGCCCTTGTCGGACCTAGTTTGCAGGTATTAGGTGGAGGTTTATCCAGTACGCACTTTCCGATAGCAGCTGCGGATTCCCACTTCATTAAAAAAAAAAAAAAAAATTGGAGTCTTGAGAACCTTAAACAATTCAAGGTGATTGATTAATGTTGGATAATCCGGTTGCATTGTGTAGATGGTGAAGACCGTTGATAATGACCACGCATGCAACCACGTTGAATACCTTAGAGTTTATTGGGTGCGGTAACTTATTCCTTAACGGACTCAATATTTTTTTGCAGATGTACGTGTTAAAAAATAAAATTATCAACTGTAAATTAATTTTTTATTATGACTGGTTTAATTTTGTAATGATCACTTTGACAGACACTTCATGCCTAGAAAGAACCTAACCCATCGGGCTGAAGATATTATCTATATTTAATTGAAATAAATTTTTAAACAATGAAACAATACCAAAATTATTTGACAAATATTTTTACGTCATTATACAAAATTAATTGTGTATAAAACGTAATAAAATGTTTCTTTGTCATTTTAACATATAGCTTCTTAGTTTCTTGGTTTTTTGACCGTAATTCAAAAGGTGAGCATCTGTCCGTCTTTTTTACTTTTCTGCATGTTGTATGATAGCTGATGCACGACCGTACCTTCCACAATTCTAGGCGATTCAATAATGTTGGCTAATCTACATTGTGTATATGGTGAAAATTGTTGATTTCAGTGATCATACAATCTTACTGAAGGCTTTAGAGTGGGATGAGATCTTGGGCCCCAACCTTCCCTCCCTTATTGTGCAGCGAGGGCGATGCCGAGGATCCCTCCCCCTTTTAGAGTCTATTGAATGCGGTCACCTGTCACTCCATATTATTTGACACAATATTTTTCGCACGTGTGTATATTTCTACAAACAAAGAATTTATTAGCTGCAAATATTTCATTTTCATTTTTTTTTTATCTCTGTACGTATTATGTAAATTAATTTGCTATTACAATTGGTTTAATTTGATGATGGTGACTTTGGACAAACACTTCATTCATGGCGCCTACATAGTCAGTAATCGAACGGCTAAATACAACAACAAAGACGAAAACAAAAACAACAAAAATGAAGACGACGAAAAATCTCCGGAAAGACAAATGTACGTATCTACGTTAACATGATATACATATATATAAATATGTCTTTGTTTCAAGGGCGGAATGATTTTTATTTTTTTTTATTTTTTAGTATGCAGCGCACAATCATGTTGTGACTTCTTTCGGTATTTCAGGTGACAACAACAAGCCTGCAAAAGTAGGATAAGCACAGAGACAAAATAATGATAATAGTATTAAGCGGTGTTATATTCCTAAACATATGGCGAGTAGTGATCAAACCATATATTTCATACTTTTGATATATTAATTAATGCGTATATAGTGATTGATCTCGATGTAAATTTATATATTGTGTATTTTGCAACATTTTGGAAATAATACAATTCAATAGCATTCGATCCAGAGGGATGCTAGCAAGACTGATGAACATTAATTGAGTGTATGTTTTGAACGTGTGTGTAAACAAAGAATTCATCAGAATCGAAATTTAATCCATCATTCATGCAAACATTTCAAATTCATGCATTAAATTAGTAATAATTATGATTGGTGATGAGCGGCTGAATTGAATGCATCCACATAGACGAAAACAAAAGCACCTCTCCGGAAAGGCAAAGGTATGTCCATACATTAACATGACATCCTGGTTTCGATAGATATAAACAACTATCATGTGTACCTACGCTGTATTAAATTTGATACACTAATTACAGAAATTTCAAGTGACAACAACAGCTCTACAAAAATAGGATCCAGACAGAGAGACAGTAATAATCATAATAATAATAATAATAATAATAAACCTACTGACATTGCAAAACTTAAGGTGAGTAGCGACCAAACCATATTTTATATTATATATATATATATAGTTAGTAACATCAATATAAATTTATTGTGTTAGGATGAAGAAGGGATAGTCAGAAACGGCAATAGCCCACCTCCTCTTCCACAACGTTCAACTACTACTACTTCCACACTTGTTGGAGGTATAATCAATTAATTAATTTTAGAAATCCCATATATATATATATATATATATAGATATATACACATGTCATTAATTGATTATTTAAGGAAGTGCACTCATAATCAGATACAAGGTGCTACGTGGATTCTTGTATTTTGCCCCCATCGCCACCGAGGAAGGCTTTACGCGCTGCAACACTGAAAGCACGATTTGCCGACACCATTTTCCGAGCGACATATGATTTGGTAAATATAATCAATCCTTAAATCATAATCACAACAACGTAATTTTCCTATTTTATTTCTATATAATTAAATTTATTTGTTTCCAATCTTTTTTAGAGTGAAAATGCAAATACCCAACAAATAGAACTTGAAAAGGAGAGATTTAAAAATCAAGTTATCAATCAAGACGGAGGCAGGGCAATGAGAGTATGAATGGAGTCTCTGTATGGTAAAATTAGGGTTGGTAAATAAATTTGGTTGGGGAGGAAATCTTCTATTGTAGAAAACATACAGCCAAATTGATCACTTTATAATAAATAATTTGCTAGTTAAGATAATGCATCATAATGCATTTGTTTTGGACTTTGAGTATAATATATATCGAGGGCATTTTACAATAAAATATTGTAATAAAATTATAGAGACATCATTTGTGATACTATAAACATCATTATATTTTAAATGTGTACGAATTTAGAAATTAATTATTTGCAGACGACTTTTAAATTTGTTTGGTATTAACTTAATCCTAAAATATATTGAAAGTAGTTGAGATAATTCTTTTTAATTGATTTTTCCTTTATTAAATATCCATAATTTATTTTTAAAATTACCAAAACGCTCCAATAAAACTTATATTGTTAACCAAAACGATCCAATGGATTTATAAAAAATCAGGATGCTCCTGAATTTTATATAACATCAGGAGGATATCAAAATTCAAATTATATAGTTAATTAAGTTGATTTGTATTTGTTAAATATGTTTTAATTTAGCAAATTTTACTCAAAATAAAAATGTGTACATTGTTATAGAGGGACAAAATAAAAAATGTGTCAATTAAGATGAAACAGAGGGAGTATAAACTATATCATGTATATGTACCTGATTATCGCTCACTCTTATTATCACAATTTTTTTATTTCAATAAC